AGTCCTTGAAAAATTAATTAATACTGCTTGTCAAATATTATTGAAGAACAGCAAAGGCGAACGCGATTGTCGCTGCAATTCAGAAATCATTGCTTGCATTGCTTTTCTCTCAAAATTACCGTGAGATATCAAGCTACATAGAACTATGATCGACAAAAAAAATATTGTCTTGAAAACAGTCAGAAACATTAGAACTTGAATGAATAAAACATAATGCAAATGAATAAGACTAGAATGAATAGGACACAAGTTCATTTCTACCATTTAAATCATCACGTACCAAATACCTTTAATTCGTCACTTTGACGAATTAGGTGATACGTATGCTATTTTTGTATCATGAAAGTGTGTCGATGATGATCTAATGATAATATTCATAAATACGATAATAAAGATATTGATGATGATGATTTATTTGTTTTAAATGACGATGAAAATGATTAAAAGTGGTATAGCGCCCCCTTCATGAATTCGATAGACAATTGTTATATGATTAATTTACTAAACAAGCTCAAATTTTCGCCTGATTGCAGAGCCTACCAATCATTGAACTGATATTTCGACGCACTACATACGCAACATAATGAACAAGTCTAGACTGGAATGTAGTATCATTCACCTCCCATAGGCATAAGACGGATATTAAGCAAACAATCTAATGACGTCATCAAAATGAATAAATATTGGTAATAATCTTGTGAAGAATTGTCTCAGCTACAATGTATCAAAATTTAGAAGAAAATTAATCAATATTTGCAGAGATACAATCATTTTCTGTAAATATGTTGACGTCATAATATGCAAATTCGTATTTTGACTTCCAAGGCCATTATGATGACGTTACAATGTACTTAATGGCCAAATGAGAAATGAAATCATATCTCCGACTCATTTAATCAAAATAAAAGAACAATTGGGGGTCTAGGTGCATCCCAAAGAGCTGTGATGGATTTTGTGTAATCATGTTTTTGCCTATATATGCTCTGTATTACATGTGCTCGTGCACACGGCAATTTATCTTAAAGTTGATATTCATTGATTTTAAAAACTAAATTTATTTTATTATTGCAAAGTTGAAACTTTGATTCGACAAGGTTATCAAAATTCAATGCTTGGAAATATTCGAAGTAACGATTATTATAAATTACAAAACGCTTAAATACAGCATGGGCATAGCACCGGAAGAGCTCTCCGAACGCTACTGAGATTTGTGAGATCACAGTATGGACATGACTTGCACAAGCAGACGATGCCCCATGACATCTCACACATTTTCAGTACCTGTGTTTTCATCTTTTCTTGAGTCCTTTCTCTTACTTCACTACCGTCATCCTGATACAACGAATCGTCTTCCTTTCTCTATATTTTGATGAAACGCCAAAATTTCAGCGCTTCGCGCAGGAGGGGAAAACTTCATTTAGACGAGTCGAGAACGGTACAATAAATCGTCTTCTTTTCCTCATAATTTAGGGAGGCCTAACACCGACACCCCCTAACGAGCGCGCTTCGCTTGCTCACTACCGCCCCTCCCTAAAATGAGATCCTAGCTCCGCGCCTGCATTAAAATATATAGCTATGATGTTGACTAGGTTGACAAAATAATTCGTATATTTATGTCGTCGAGGAAATTGATCATTTGCGCATACGCAAGTACTATAGATAGTCCATAGGAAAAACAATTTAGCCTTCGGCCCCGGGTTTATAGGGTTATTTGTAGATATTGAGACACTTAATTTTGTCGGTAATTGGTGGCTAGTTTTGTCGGTAATCGTTGGCCTCTACACCCCCCCCCCCCCCCACTGAAAAAGGTCTAGCGACGCCCCTGATACAATGTATTAGGTCATCGTGGAAGTTCTAGAAAGCAACAGGGGAGGGATCAAAATAAGCTTTGAAGGGCACTTATACGTAAAGAAGAGAACCCATTCAGACGGGAAAATTAGATGGCAGCCTTTTTGCTTATTCCCATTTATACAAATCATTTTGTTGCAGTTTGATGTCAGTTCTTCACGATAAGCCAATTGCTCTTCTTCCGGTGGTTCCGTGAGTCCCTTAAAGTCAGTGAAAACAAAGTACTCGAATGAGACGGGGTGTTTTACACACTAATATATTATATAGTAAAGCTGCATACACTTAACTGAAGGAAAGAAACCTATAGAAGACGGACTGGATATTATTGAAAATACTATCTAAACAAGAATGTACTACATGTACTACATTACGTTACAATTTCACGAGAGAACTAGAGCTCGACAGGGGAAGGAAAGAAGAAGTGATGAAACTGAAAGAAGACTAATAGCATGAGAGGAAAGAAAAGAGCTAAGAAGACAAGAAAAGGGTGTAAAAAGGAAAAGAAAGAGCAAGAGAGAGAGAGAGAGATATATCCTTGAGCTTTTGATCGGCTAATGAGTAATAAATGAAACAGATTTTGAGCGGAGTAATTATCTTTCGCTGGAGAACTTGCATAAGGAGCTAAAACTTGATGTTTTTTTAAATCAAACATTATGGGGAATAGCAAAAAAAACGGCTGAGCATTTATTGCACTAATTGCCAGAGGAGCATTCATGTCTTTTACGAGGCCGCACTTTGGATCAGAGAGCAATTTAATTGTCGGCGGAGCGTTGTCTTTTGCGGGGTACTTTTGGGGAGAAGCAACAATTATAGTCGTAGTAGCCTTTGTATTTTACGGGGCACTTTTTTAGCGGAGCAAATGTCGGCGGAGCAATTGTCGGCGGAGCAAATGTCACCGGAGCAAGTGTCGCTTCAGGCGGAGCAAATGTCGGCGGAGCAATTGTCGGCGGAGCAAATGTCACCGGAGCAATTGTCGCGTTTTGCGGAGCGATTGTCGGCGGAGCAACTGTCGGCGGAGCAACTGTCGTTCGAGGAGCATTTGTCACCGGAGCAATTGTCGCGTTTTGCGGAGCGATTGTCGGCGGAGCAATTGTCGGCGGAGCAAATGTCGGCGGAGCAATTGTCGGCGGAGCAATTGTCGGCGGAGCAAATGTCGGCGGAGGAATTGTCGGCGGAGCACATGTCGGCGGAGCACATGTCGGCGGAGCAACTGTCGGCGGAGCAACTGTCGCGGAGCAATTGTCGCGTTTTGCGGAGTAAATGTCGGCGGAGCAATCGTCGGCGGAGCATGTGTCATGGAACCAAATTGAAATGAGCCAAATGATCCAGTTGATCCAGGCCAGTAAGAATTCGACTAGTCAAGCTGAGCCACTTCCAACCAGTTGAACGGCAACAACACTTCAATACTAGTACGTCTGTATTTCCAATGTAAAGGCATTGGTAATAACTAGACTTACATAATTTAATTAATCGAAATTTGTTCATATACTTGTATTTGATTGAAATTATTTTAGTTCATAGTTAATGTTTCCCTTATTCATGTTTATTAAATGTAATTGATACGAGGTAGCGAATTGTCCTTATATTTGTAGTATTTTCGAAATGAATTGCATATAACTAAATCATCAGTAATTAAGAAATATGCTGTAAATTCAGATAAATTGTTTAAAAGAACATAGATCTGCACGCACCCCATATTCAATATTCAAATTAATTGGTGTCAGCTGGTTCAACTGGAAATATGCCTACAGTCAGTCATCAACTGGTGCAACTGGAAATATGCACACAGACCAGTCATCAACTGGTGCAATGAAAATATGCCAACAGTCAGTTATCAACTGGTTCAAATGGAAATATGCCAACAGTCACGTGATCATCACCAAGAGAGCTATGGTAACTTTGAAACCATTTAAAGACCGTCACCACTACTGGGCAAGAAGGGATTAGACCACACAGCGAGCCATCGAGGTCACTGTGACAGGTGGCTATCTCATTAACTCAGCTCTCACTTAACATAAGAAAAAGAGGATCATGGGGGACCAACAGGCACCGATTGGGGAAGTTTTCTATATAGAGGGAGCAAGTAGCTACAAGTATGGCAGTGTGCCTTTAAAATTAATTTTGCACACCTAAAAAATCACGGATGCCCAGCTTAGATTAGTAATCCGTTTCAGTCACGAGATCATCACCGCGGAACTTATGGCAACTTTGACTACCATGTAAATAGGTGTTTTAAGACACCTAATAATTACTATTTTTTAACACCTAAATATCACAGATTCACAGCTTAGATTAGTAATCAGTTTTAGCCACGTGATCATCACCAAGAAAGTTATGGTAACTTTGAAACCATTTAAAAAGTTGTTTTAAGACCCCTAATAATGACTTATTTTTCACACCTAAATATCACGGATTCACAGCTTAGATTGGTAATCAGCTTGAGCCACGTGATCATAACCAAGAAAGTTATGGTAACTTTGAAATCATTTAAAGAGGTGTGTAAGACACCTCAGAATTGCTAATTTAATATAACCAGCAATTCACGAACAGAACAATTAGACGATTAGCCGGTGTAAGAAACGTGATTATTACCATCAACCTTGGATAACCTGTGAAACCAATCGATAAAGGTGCTTAAAAGACCAAATAATTACTTATTTATCACCACCATCGGTTAACGGACGAGAAACCCGTTGCTTGGTCAAGTGGTTATTTGGTCATAAACATTTGATTTACAGAGGTAAGTGGAATCACGTTACTCCAGTCGCGTGCTAAATTGGTGGTTTTAGGTGCGATGAAAACGTGAACAGGAGTACCTTTAAAAAAATGAAGGCACGTGTCGATAACGTTTAAATCTAGTTCAAAAGGCACCATACTTTAAAATCACTCAAAATACACTCCCAAAAGAGGTTATTTTTTAGTGTTCTGTTTATTGAGTATGTTCACACAGTAAATGTTGAGGAAATCGAATTAAAAAAAGGGTGACTATATAAATTCTGCGGAGATTCCGCCAAACTAACACGTATCAGCTATGACGTCATTTTTCTGACTGCTTTTCGACCCCTTTCTGTAATTTTTTTCCTTGAAATTTTGCAAGCGTATTCTAGGTGGCCAAACAAATTTTATAATTTTTGTTTGATCCACAGGCCAGCACGAATTTCACTTTCTGAAGATCCTTCAATCTCACTACTCATCCATATATAATGTTGCAGTTGACCCTAACGAAGGCATGCTACATACATTCAAGGGTAGAGTTGCTACATCGAATTTTGATGATAAATCGTCTTGCCGTTGGTTCACCGGTCCGTTGTCACAATTCGTTGCTGAAAGCCCCTTGGCGGGAAACAAGTACAACCTCATTAGCTCCATACATTCGCTCTACTACACGGGTGACTTTGAGACGACCTTCACCCAACTAGCATCCATGATGAAAGATAAGGGTCTCATGATCATCGTTTGTCACAACGGTAGGTAGCGTATAGACATCATCATTTTGCTCCATCAGGTCAAAATGCCGTAATGAAACACAATGAACGAGTGCAAAATCATCTCGAAAATAATTCAAACATACTTTACAACAAAAATAAATAAATAAACAAGTAATAAATTATAAGTTATAAATTATTTTAATAAATAGTCTTGAACGGGAAGAACCAAGCTACTCCCGGGTGAAGTAGGACAGCCAGGAGAAACAGAGGACAACACTTTAATAACTCTTAAAATCTCTTTTTTTACAGGTGATTTTCCAAAAACTGAAGTAAGTGCTCGATATCTAAAATACAATAAATCATTGTATAAGGAGACTTAGCAGTCGCTCGTCATATTGACCTAATGATATACAATCCGTTGTACAATATTGGATTATCAGGTGTATAAGTTTTAAGCTAAATTTCAGCATTTTTCTCATTTATATGACATGTATTGTTTATACTGTGTTTGATATACACAAGTTTGTCCGAAGTATTTTGAATGATCTAAAATCAGTAAGTGACTTTTTATCACAGTTTAATTAATTATCGTTTTGTTCGTTCATTTGTTGTTGCTTTACAGATTGCCTGATCTCGAAAACATTCCACAAGTTACCTTGGCTGACAGAAAGCACTCCATCAAATCAACAACTTACTTCAAAGAATGTTCGAGAGTTCGCGCAAAGTCAAGGGTATGATGTCACCACTGTCGACATACCTGTACATTGGGACATCACCGAAGTGTTTGATGACCAGTCAGACTTTGGAAATAAACTCCTTGACTTCTTCACCCAGGGGGCGTACTTTCGACAGACGGCGCCGGCTGAGTTGGTCGATGATTTGATGAGCTTTTGGCGTTCTATTTCGACCGAAGATGAAAACGGACGTATTTTAGCACCAGCCCATGACGAAATACTTCTTATCTCAAAATAATTCACTGCCATCGTTCTTCAGAGCACTTAAGAGTATGTTGTTTAAAATATCAAGTAGGATTCATCACAACTGCCTTTTTTCATTCACTATATAGTTACCTATTTACCACGTATTGGTGCTCAAGCAGCTCTAAGAGTGCCTTGGATACGACACTGGATGGATATACCTGTATTTATATATATTTCCATTTTAAATATTCTATAAACGATTTAGATTAGCGAGTTCAAGGTAAAGGGAGACCAAATATAAGGGGGAGGGAGAGGGTATTTTGAAGGAAAAAAAACCCCGATACTATTGTTATCATTATTATTGAATTCTATTCCATTCAATTCAAATTCAAGTTCAAGTTTTATTTCCACATCTGATTTTAAAAAAACACAAGTACAATTATATACATATATATACATTAACAAACGTTAAACTGAAACATCTTCAATTTAAATCATACTGTGGTGGGAAAAAACAAAGGCCAGTGGCCTTTCAAGGTTATTTCCAAAGATAATAAAATTTACCTAAAATGTTTCTTAAATTTTCTTAAAACGAGATGAAGATACAGAGATTTAAATAACACAAAGCATCAATAAACAAAACGAAACCGGACAAATCCATTACAAAAAGACAAAAAACAGAAAAACAGAAAAGGCATTGATGTACAAAATAATCGTAATTATACAATTTACAAGACACTGTGGTAAATTTATGTCACTCTGTGTAAAACATGACACAAAATGTGGTAAACCACATGATCTGAAACCCCACACTGTGACAATACTGTAAACACAGAGTTTACACATAGTTCAGTACGTATACCACTGTGGTAAATATTTGGTACTCTATGTTAAGTATGTCAGTTTATGTGAATATTATGTGGTAATCCACATGGTCTGAAACTCAACACTATGCCAACAATGAGAACATATAATGTCCACACAGTCTACACATAGTTAACTATGTGAACATAAGGATTAGGAACATAGTGTAAACGTAGCATTAGTGTTTTAGCATAGAAACTAAAATGACAGACCGCGTCTGAATGTGGCCCTATTCACACGCATATGTTTGCTTGTGTGTACTGTTTATAAATAGTTTACTGCATAGTTTTAAAGCAGGGTGTGTTCACAAAGAGATGTAAACCAGTTTAACTTTAATCTTGTGTCCTATCATAAATACTCACCATCAACGTGTAGTAAATGGCATCTTACTGCTTTAGTGATAGGGTGTGTACATGCTTACATGCTGAAGCATTTTTTTGTTTGTTTATGATCATTACAGATTCTTATCTGAAGATTTTACCGAAGATATTAAGGTGAAGTTTACACCATTGTTGATGTTGCTGAATAAAACGGGAGTATGTTGGACTTGAGCAAATGTTTTTCAGTGTTGATTTCCATCGGTGTGCCTTTTTGAATAACAACAGTCGGACATTTGTTGTTAGACGAAACTCCTTCATATGAAAATTTATGAAAGCTGCCACATTACTCTATAAATGACATCAAACTATAATTGTCTTTTACTGTAATTCTGGATAAACATGAAGATATAAAGCCGTGGAGCTTTTCTAGAAACAGATATATTGTGTAACATGAACGATGCACTGTCTGTCATTGCTATTTGTATCTGTATTCGCGGATCGAATACAAGCTTCATATCTCCATTTACGGCTGGACCCCCAAACTTCTATATTACCTCTCTTCACATATTCATCGCACTCGATTTCTGTGGCGGAAACAAACCTTTACCATGGTACGGCAACTGACGGCTTAGCTGGTAAACTTGTCAAACTTGACCCGAAATTTGACTGCGTACTGCTGTCAATGAAGAACATGACGACAGTCACAAACTTGACCTTTGGTTACTTTAAAGTATAACAAAGAAGATTTTAAACTAGGTAAACATATCTTCTTCGTTGCGAAATTAATCATTTTACCAATCATTTTAGAATAACAAACTCTTCTGTTGGATAATGACAATCCAGTAGGAACAAAACTCACCAGTCTATTATTGGTATCCCCAATGAAATTATAAAAATCAGGAAACGGGACCAAAAAAAAGGAGGAAGAAAAAGAGCAATATAGAGAGAAGAAGAAAAAAAGAGTGCTAAAAACCAAAGTGTAAGAAAACAAAGAAAAGAGGGAAAAAGAGAAAAGAGAGCGAAAGGGGGGGGGGGGATAATTTGTGGGTGTAAAGGAATGGAGTTACATGTTTTCACTCGTTAATGATAAAGCTGGCCCCAACACAGCTTAGTCAGGGCCACATTTTGAAAATCAATGTAATTCCTATACTTTCGAAACTCACTCAACTTTATTCATTTTCAGGTATTCATCTACATTCAAACAGTCAGCGACAAACGTGTTTGTTTCCCATTGTTAGGCATAATGCTTGCTCCCTCATTCTGAAGCTCCATGACCTCAGGTTTTTCATTGTTCAGTAGGACCTAGGAAACACAGAAAGGATTCAGAATTATTGTTGGTCAACTGAATTAGTTTCCATGTGCCCTTGCCATGACCGTCACGGCCTGAGATTCCTCTCATAAAAGACGTATTAACATGTGTCTATAATAACAGAGTGTATACATGTACAATCTATAATGTTGCCGTTGGCATTGTTAACTTTATAAACTGTCCACTATAGGATAGTCGGTACACTATGAACATGCCTGACAAAGAAAGCGGACAAAATATACAGTTCCTCAGTTAGACAAAGGAACATCCCTTCACTGCTATTATGTAAAAAGGTCAATATGCATGTGACACCTGTTCTACACATTTGGTTGACAAGAAAAGATTATCGTTTACCAACTAATTGCATATGAGCCCTTGACATTTGAATCCTATATTGAGATGCTTGGACATTTATTATTTTATTATTTCTCAGTATATCACATTAAATCCAATGGGAAATTGTTTATAAAATGTCATTTCTTAATCTTTAACTCAACTGATATTCCATTTCATATAATTAATTGTAAAATAGGAGATTTATACTTAAAATGTTTTTGCCCTAAATTATGTTGACCCGCAGATCTCTGCAGATGAGCACATGGAATGCATACGAACCCAGCGTAAGCCAGGCGCGGATCCAGGGGAGAGGTGGGGGCCCAGGGGGCCTTACCCCCCCCCCCCCAAAAAAAAAGAGGGGGAGAAGGAAAAGAAGGGAAAGGGAAAGAGGAGAGAAAGGAAAAAAAAGAAGAGGAAGAAGAAAATGATAAGTGCCCCCATTTAACAAAGAGCCCTTCGCCTTTTCATAAATGCCCCTTTTCACCTATAAATATTGTCCTTTTTCATTCTCCTACTAGTGCTTCTTTTCATGTCTGGTAAATGACCCTATTCAATTCTGAGAGACAAATCGTTTTATTTTGACAAGTGCCCCCTTTTCCTCCTGATAAGTGCTCTTTTCATCTCTAATAACACCCCCTTTTATTTTGACACGTGCCCCTTTTCCTTCCTAATAAATGCTCTTTTTCCTTCGTAATTTCCGCTTTTCATAAAAGCCCCCACTATCAAAATCTGATCGGTGATCCTTTTCTTTCAACAAATGCACATTTCCCTTTATTATTAGTGCCCCCTTTTCATTCTCATAATTAACCTTTTTTTAACAATGATACGTGCCCCTTTTCCTTTCTTATGAGGAACCTATCCCTTTTTCATAAATGCCCCTATCAAAATCTGATGGTTGCCTTTTTTCCGTCGACAAATGACCAATTTCCATTCTCATAAGTGTCTTTTCATCCCTGTTGAGGGCCCCATTTTCACCTCTGATAATAACCCTTTGTACTTTGACACGTGCTCCTTTTATTTTCTAGTAAGTGTCTTATCCCTTCGATAAGTGTCCCCCTTTCCTCTCATCATTAAACGTGCCCCTAATTTTAAGCGACTAACATCAATATCTCCCTAAGCTCGCTCGCTACGCTCGCTCACATTTATAGATGTTATATTATGTTACTTATCAAAGGTCTTTTCAATTTGCTGTTATGAAAATGTGCTTATTTATAACCCGATGAAGATTGGTTTTTCCTCTTTATAAGATGTAGTTTTCGCACTGTGACCTCACAAATCTTATATTTTTCCTCGCTCGCAAATGATTTTTTCGACTATCACACCCAACTGCAAGGTATGATGCTTTAAAAAGCAATATTTTATACGATGTATAAAGAGAAACAAATATTGAAATCATCCCTGATAATGTAATCAAAATTTAGGGGTATATACCAATGTCTAAAAATTGTTTATTTTCGCTTTGAGATTTCCATTTCTATGTGCCCTTTTTTCCCAGAAAGTGCCCTTTTTTATTGGTGCCCCCACCCCCCCCCCCCCCACTTTGGAAGTCGCTCCGCCGCCTCTGAGGCAGAATGTCAGATCCCCGGAGTCTATTTTGCATGAATTCAAGTCCAACGTGTTTATCGGAAATGAACACCTGTAAATCTAATGTAGAAATTCAAGTCCAGGGGTTGTTTACCCGTTCCTGTCATACTATCGGGAACATAATTAATGCTGTTCAACTTTTAGATGTATACAAAGTCAAACTGATAACCGTACAAATGGTCAACTTAACCCAACTCCTCTATTGCTATAGCGCCCCCTTAGGTCAATGTTTTGCCCAAATCAGCGTATATCTCCATTTACGACTGGACTCCCAAACTTCTATTTTTCCTTTTCTTCAACTATTCATACAGGATACCCTTGTATAACCTGGGTAGAGAGAAGCAATAGAAGCAACTATGCCGGCGAACCCGGCACGTTATAAATGGATTATCTATGGTAGATTGTAGATCTACGGTAATTTTGAACTGTATTCGATTTTATTTGTTGAGAAAAAAGAATAAAATAACATTCCAAATCTATAACAACAACAAAATCAATCCCCCCAATACAAAAACATACCAGCCACTATGAAAGGGACAACTCCCATGTACCATGCACACTGTTCGAGGCACCTGTAAAATTATGGATCTTTAGAAACTTTGTGGATTATGTGGATTTATCACATTTAGATTCTGAGTATTGGCAGCGAATTATATCATATTGAAAAGGATGCAATTCATAGTTGTACACAATAATTGTCAGTCATTATATTATCTATTTCTCCACCTCTCTCTCTCTCTCTCTCTCTCTCTCTCGGGCATGAAGAAAATATGAATATAATATAGGGCTTTGATTAAGACAACTTGAACATTTTATCAGTATTGAACAAGGGAAAGAAATGGGTACGAAAATAA